AGAAGTTAAAATAGTACTGACAGCATTAATGGTGCTCTCCAAATTCTGAGCAGCTCCATAGGCCAAAAAGATCAACAGGAAGACCTAGCTGAGGTTATGAACGTCTCTTTTGTAATTGATGATGATGGGATTCTTTCGAGTTGATGAGTTGACATCAACCCGCAGTGGTGTCTCCTTATCCATGGCCACTAAACTTCTTGATAGAGACCAACAAAAAGCCCATACCCAATTTTAATCAAAATCAAGTCAACCAAAATTCACACAAACCAATCGCAAACCTTTTTTGGCTTATAAACATGTAATGTGCGTTTTGCTAAAGTGCAAACCAGGGGTGTATATGTATTGTGCAGAATATAACAACTACTATGACTAAGGGGCAAAAATTCTTGTATATAAAAACATATGGTGCCGGCGGAGCTAATAGGAAGAAGGCGACATGAGAAAAGGGATTGGATTGAGGCCAAGGAAGAATCTGCAATTTGAAACAGCCTAAGGGGTTTAGGCGGCCAAAGCGGTAATCATCAATTGTCATGCTCTCAACTGCATATTCTAGTTCTATAATCTATGGCACGACGTGCAAGTAATTCTATACTAGAATACTAGATGTACTGCTGCTACAAATATTTTACAATCAAATTCTGCCTTGTACCTGGTCCTAGCTGTTTTCTTCTGCTTTTCTTACTAGCAAAAGGGTGGTAGAAGAAGGGCTGGAGAAGTAGAAGGTCGGTGGCAGGCGGTGGAGATTGATAGAAGAAGGAGACAATCTAAAGTTACCAAAATGCCCCTGCTTAGTTGTTAAATTAGGAATCAAATTACTTTCAGGTGATGGATCGCTGCAGAAGGTTTTAATTGGATCCAAAATTTAAGTTCACGTATTAAATTGGCCAAGAATAAATGTTAGGAACTGAATTGACATTAGCAAAAAATGTTCAGGACGAATTTGGTCAGTCTCCCAATGTCAACTAGGTTTTGACATTTGAGTAAGCAAATGTGTAACGAAAATACTTGCAGATGCTTCACGGTGCTAAAGAAAGCTATTGCACCTTAGACCACTTGCTTACCTGTGGATCTGTGTATCTATGGGAGATGGTAGTGATCCTTTCTTCTGTATGATAATTGGCACACTGAGGGCCCTCTCTATTTTAAGTATCCTGAGTTTCTGCTCAAGAACTTAGGACTTTACTCATACTAGAAAGTTGCTGACTTTATTAAGAATGGACCAACTAATTGGCCAACAGGTAGAAGATTTAATGTTCTGCTGCGAGATTTTAAGCAAATCACGCCAGCAAGTTTGCTGGATTAGTTACATGGATCAGATCATGTTAAATGGTCTGTCTCTTCTTCCAGTGAGTTCTCTGTGAAACCTGCCAGAAAATCTATCACCAAGGTAGTGCAGTACAATGGTTTAAACTGGTATGGGATGAAGGGAGTGTACAGAAATATGCTTTTATTATGTGACTAATGTTGAAAAGGAAATCATTAACTAAGGATAGGCTGCTGAAATGGGGTATGACTAATGTCTCATCCAAGTGTGTCCTATGTGGCATAGCAGGGAAATTTCTGGACCATTTGTTTTTTGATTGTAGCTTTTTAAGATGTGTGGGACCAAGGGTACGAACAGTTGTCAGTAACAATCATTCTGAACGATGTAATATTTTTTGAACAAGGTGTAACTCTATTTGAACTACTTGTAAAACTAAATAATAGAGACACAATTATTACATATGGGATCCAAATAAATAATAATAAAATATCACACCTCTGTTGTAAGGATGTATAAGAAGTTTATATGGAGTTACAAAATGTTTTAAAAAAAATATTACAGCCCCGCACTTGTGTTTGATGTATAGAGGTCCCTAACCTTGAAGTCAAGAAATGGAGCTGTGGCGTAAGCATTCTTATGGGAAATCTTTTGGTGCAAAACCAAGAAGACTGGTGCTAGCAGTAACTAACTGTATGACATGTGTGACAGGAAAGACAGTAACTAACTGTATGGCATCTGTGACAGGAAAGACACAGGAGTCTTTCAGCTTCTTGAGGCAACTACTTGCAAAGTTCTCGTTGACATTGCCAAAGAAGACTGGTGCAAAACTAAGAAGACTGGTGCTTGCAGTAACTAACTGTGTGGCATCTGTGACAGGAAAGACACGGGAGTCTTTCGGCTCCTTGAGGCAACTACTTGCAAAATTCTCTTTGACATTGCCAAGGTTATTCAACTATCTGTTGTTTCTTGGCCAAGAGTTCCTTGAACTCGAGAAAATTGGTAGCTGATGTTGGAGGGACAAGGGCCAAACAACCATCAGAAAAACTATTCGGAGCGATTTTATGCAAAATGCACAATATATAATTTTGTATGCACACTGTATAACTCACTTTTAATAATGTGTAATTATAGAACAAATTTTTGTGAGTCCACACATGATTTGAAAAATGATGTGCAAGATGAAATATGAACCTTATATATTTTTTAATGAAATCTTGGCCATGAATCTTCATGAACCGTTCAGGAGGGGATCACATCCGGATTGCTTGTGCGGTTGAGTAACTATACAGAAATTCTTTTTTGGGTTGCTGAGTATCTTAGGATGAGTAGAATGATCGCTTAGATCATTAGAGATGATTGTTGATGTAGTAGGGGAAGATTCCCTTTATAAAACTAATTTTCTCACGATTAATAAGAGGATAAATGTTGCCCAATTTTTTTTTTAATGTGTAATGAAAATATTGGCCATGGTCAGGAAGACCTCCTTAATTATAAAAGTTTCTTGAATTTCATCATCCAATCTGTTTAAGCGAGGATTCTTAAATGCTATTTTTAAGCAAATTGATTTTTGTATTATATATACTTACTACTCTTACTTCATGCCTTGCTTCAAACCCCGCGTAAGTTTTAATTCAGCACAAATCAGATGGCGAAAGTAGAAAAGCTAGAGGACAAATAAAACTACATAAGCTTTTTTTGTCATCAGTGACTCAACTGATTTTTCATTGAAAGGGCCCTAAGGCTTCACGTTCTGGGCCTGTGAAAAATTGGATGGTCTGGTGTGTGCAATGCACGTACATGGAAATTTCGAACTGGTGATACTTTTCAAAAAGAGTTTTTAAATAGTAAAAGTTCTTAAACAACGCATTCACTGAGTGTGTGAATATGTCTTTTAAATAACATATTAATAAATATGTCCTTTAAAATAAATTGTCTACACAAATAAAAGAATGAATTCTGTAAATGTGTCTTTTGAGAAAACAATACATTTACTGAGTACGTTTTTTCACTCTCCGGGAAGAAGTTTAAAAACACCACCCTTTGAAAGGTAATTTTTAAAAAATCCCACTTTTTGACAATTTACTCAAACTTTTACTCGACAAAATGTGTTGGGAAATTTGTGAGGTCAGGTGAATTGTAAAACCGTCGTGCCATCGTAATGTATGTTTTACACTAGATTGAGTAAGAATTATATCAAAACAGTCGGCCACAATATAGGAATGTGAAAACTTTATGTCAGGTGAGTTGTAATATTTTTGTATCATCTAACGTATATTTGCAAAAGATTGAGAATATAATATATGGAAGGGAAAAGAGTCCCAATGGCCCTCCAACTCTTTACCAGGTAAAGTTTTAGCCCTCCAACAATTAACGGTAAAATTTTGGCCCTCAATCTAATAAAATAGAATATTCGTGGCCCTTCTGTCAAATCTAGCAGTTAAATTTGACGGGAAGCATCATCTTGCGAGACGTACCCACTATTTTCCATCCAATAATTTCCACCCCTTTTGCTCCAAAACCCTAGTGCGAAAAAATCGAACTATTCGATCCGGATGCTGCAGCAAAAGTGTTAATTGCTGTGCATCAATTGGAACCAGATAGTCACAATTCATTGCTTGCTCTTGGTCAATCCGAGTATTCTGCAGTGCTTGGGCATCTCAATGTCCATACGCCTTCACAAAACTCAAATTTCCCACCATCTGCATCTTGGGCTGTTGGAGGTAAATACATAAAATGGAGTTCAGGTTCTGAAGGTTCTGACAAAGTACTTGCGGAAGTGCTAGAGTACCTTGGTGTTCCAATAAATCTCAGACATACCTTTTTCCTTGTGTCTGGATCAACCAAAGGTAGTCTTTAATGGTTGACAAGAAGAATTCCATCCAAGGACCCACCATCACATGGCAGCCCAAGTCCTAAGCCTGCTGCCACTGATGCACTATCAGACTCAATTGCTCTCCCACTCCATTCCTACTGCCCGCTGGAAGCTGATGCCGAAGAAACAATTGCAGACATGGAAGCTTGTGGTGCAGGCGCATACTGCCTACGGTCTTGCCCTGCTGTTCCAAAAATTGATGAATCGTGATTCGGCAGCTGCCAACAATTTCCACCCCTTCTGCTACTTCAAGCCTCAAATTTATAATTCAGATCTGCAATCTTGATGGGTCAGTCAAAGCTCTCCCTTTCTAGATTTGCAGGTTCCTCCTTTAGAGACTAAAATGCCCTTGATATTTAGTCGTGCATCTCACGAGATAATGCTTTCCGTCAATTTTAATTGCTGGATCTGACAGAAGGGCCATGAATATGCTATTTTATTAGATTGAGGGCCAAAACTTTATCGTTAATTATTGGAGGGCTAAAACTTTACCTGGTAAAGAGTTGGAGGGTCAATGAGACTCTTTTCCCTATATGGAAACAATAGATCACAATGTTGAAATGTCAAACCTCATGTTTCAAAACAAATACTTGGGGAATTATTTGCCTTTTCTTTGGAACAATATTAAAATGTAGCCATAAATTTAAATTCCAAAATTGTTGAATACTTGGGGAATTCTAGCAATGGCACTGGGAGTCAAAGTTCACCTTATTCAAAAGTCACCAGACATCTCAGAGTTTCATGTTTCTATTGAGAATATGTATCCATTGCCACTTTTGGCTGATCAACCATGACTAAGAGAATTAATTGATTTGCTTGCACTTTTTGAAAAAGGATTCATTACTCTCAGTAGTCTATAAATTTTCTTATTTCTCACCACTAAACCTCTTCAAGAACAACCAAAACCTTCTTGGATTAAATCCCTCTTGTTCTTAAAGAATCATGGCCCCTATCACTTATAGCTCTGAGATGACCTCCCCAATCCCTCCAGCTAGGTTGTTTAAGGCCGCCATCCTTGATGACACCCTTCTTCCCAAAATCCTGCCACAGGCCATCAAGAGTGTCGAAATCCTTGAAGGAGATGGTGGAGCTGGAAAAATTAAGTTGAGCAAATTTGGTGAAGGTTAGATATTAAATTCAACATGATTATTTTTCATAACAGTTGAATTCATTCAAGGGATTTCGTTAATGTTGTAGTGACTTATCTTTGGTAGAATGTAAAAGCTAACAACTTCTTTATACTTCGATATTCAGCTAACAAATTCAAGAGTGCCAAACACAGAGTTGATGAACTTGACAAAGAAAACTTCGTTTACAGCTATAGCGTAATTGAGAGTGATGCATTGAAAGATGGAATTGAGAAATTCACCAATGAGGTCAAATTTGAAGCCTCCCCTAATGGAGGGTCAATTTGCAAAACTAACAGCAGTATCTACACCAAGGGTGATGTCCAGATCACTGAGGAAGAAATTAAGTGAGCAACAGAAAGGGCATTGGGAATGTTCAAGGCTGTTGAGGCTTATCTCCTTGCCAATCCTGATGACTACAACTAATTAATCAAGCTATTGCAAGACTCTTCCACACATATTTGCTTACTGTTGTTTTTTACGAAAGCTTCAATTGCCTTAAGCTGTATGGTTGAATTATTTTGGAGCTCTGATCATAATATGTGATCAAGGTGTGCTTTGCTTGTATTTTTGCTTGATCACAGAGTGTGATCTTGTTTGATGCTTTTTCTTCGTTCTTGTGCTGCAACAAACTGTTTTGAATTCAATTTCATATCTCTCATCTTGAAGTCCCAAGATTCAATGGGATTGGGAATTCTTACCAATCAGCAGCATATATTGGAGAATCGATATGGAGACACGAATTACTATCATTTACGTGCTTGCAAATACATATGCTTAGTGCGATAATGAAGATTAATAAGTCTTAGAAATGCCAACACAAATGAGTCGCAGGGATCTTCTTGTTTAGAGTTAATTCTAAAATTTCAATGCTACTTTACAGTTATATATATGTCAATGTCAAAAAAACCACCTTTTGTCAAAAGAAAAGAGAAAAGGGCCAACTCTACTTTACACGCCTAATATTTTCTTTAATTTTCTAAATCATAATTGATTGTTATTTTCGACATTTTACACCCTAAATTATCAAATTTTCCGGACATTCTAATTGCTTTTACTATTGAAGAAGTGATAGATATACAGATGCAGGTTTTCAATTTTTTTCCCATTTCTGGATTCGCAAGAGACAGTGTCTAACTTTTATTATTGATAAGTAGCAAGAATTGCAGCGTACAAGCACACATCACTTATATTCTTCTTAATTAAATTATGTAAGAGAGTATGGTGATCGAAATTAATTTATTAAGTTTATTGTGCTATAAGCCCAAAATAAAAGCTGGAGATGTATTGTAACAACAATTGGTAACTTAGGCCACAAATGATCGAAATAAATGTTGAAGGTGTAATATGAGATTATGGATTCAAAATATAGTTACTCCAAGGAGAAATTCTTGGGCTATATGTTTCTTGACCTCTAGAAACTTATTTAGAGTCATTTCTGTCTACCTCAAAAAAAAAAAAAAAAAAGTCACTTTTGTCATTTGTCCAAGATCAGTTCTGGGGCCATCTCGACAGTATATATTTTTCTTACATGCCAAGACAATTAATGAAAATTGACCAATAACACACCACGCGCACACACACACACACACTCTCTCTCTCTCTCTCGCGGTTGCTGCCAAGTCTTTCCACTGAAAAGGAAAATTCATATTGTTTACATAGATAAATTACCTCCAGTCCATGGAATGTCTTGATGTTAGGTGAGTTCTAATATTTTGGTATCATCTAATGTTCATTTGTGAAAGATTGAGAAATGATAAAGAGCAAAACACCAAATTATTCCATAAATTATTTTGCTAAAATCAAAATAGTCCATAAATTTTCTTTTGGCCAAATCTTTGTCATGAACTTTCAGAAACGGTTGCTTTCTGCAACCGTTCGTGAGGGATTTCATCCGGATTGCTTGTGCAGTTGAGTAACTATACAGAAATTCTTTTTGGGATGCTGAGTATCTTAGGATGGGTACAATGATCGCTTAGATCATCAGAGATGATTGTTGATGTAGTAGAGGAAGATTCCCTTTATAAAGCTGATTTTCTCATGATTAATAAGAATATAAATGTTACCAAATTTTCTTTTCAAATGTGTAACGAAAATATTGGCCATGATCAGCAAGACCTCCTTCATTATAAAAGTTTCTTGAATGTCATCATCCAATTTGTTTAAGCGAGGATTTTTAAATGCTACTTTTAAGCAAATTGATTTTTGTATTATAGATACTAGGGGGGGAGGCCCGCGCAATGCGCGGGAGTGGGGTGCCTGTGGGTCGCGCAATGCGCACTCCATAATGCGCGTGGTGAGATCTATCTAACCTTCGTAAATAATAGTGAAGAGAGAAAAGATGGAAGTTGTAACTGAGAAGCCGTACGAAAATAATAGAGAACCACATCATAGTATTATAAAAAACCATAGCTTAGATCAGGATGTTTGAGTTCATGACCATACGGACAGGGATATAGGCCCAATGATAGTTTCAGATTTAGATTAAATGCTCAGTGGCTCCTTTTCTAAGAAGGTATAATAGACCACCTTGCACTTAACCTAATTTGAAACAGTCTTATTTTAGATACTTCTATTTACATAGAACAGATAAAGGAAAAGTTCAGCCAAGTTTGTCCGTTAAAGTAGTAGTACTTAGGAATAATGAAGATCCATTCGCAAAGGATATAACTTCAAGGATGGGCTTTGGCAGTTTAGGTGCGGTGTTTCTTAGTGGGGTTGACTCTGAGTTTCATTGGGGCTGCTGCAACTGCTGCCTTTTTCTTCTTATCTTCTGTGTTAGAAGGACTGAGTTGATCCACTCCTTTGCTTTGTGTTTCTCCTTCCATTATGCTATCAACTTTTTCTATTGCCATATTTTCAGCCATGTCGGTAACATTCTTTTTGGAATGTTCTTCTTGTGCTGCTGCCCAAGTGGATGCTGTAGCTTTGTAGTTGGTGATATATTTGCTGATGACATAGTTTTCTTCTGCAGTAGCATTGTTGATATGGGCAACTATGGCATTGTACTTTTCTGAGCTCCTGGAACTGTGGATTGTATTTGATTTCTTGACCAAGCAAACTAAGTTTTTCTGCTTGATGAAATCTGCTATAGTGGCGTACTGGACATTTCCCTGTAGGAAGAATAGAGACTTTAAGTATTTATTTGAAGTGAGCAGAATGTTGCAAAGTAGTTTTGAGTTCGAATGTACCTGCTGCTCTTGCTTTTGGATGTCACTTATGCAGAATGGGAGGAGTTGTTCAGCATCATCACCACTCAGGTCAAGAGTTATAGCACCACTCATATCACTAATTTGCACTGTTAGTCTGCAGCTGTTTTTGGGTTCATGTTATTAGAAGCTTTTTTGGCAGCAGGGGTTGTTAATATTAGATTAAGGTATATGTTTACCGTGGAGTGAGACGGATGCGCTGGTAGCATGAAGTGCAGGTGATCTCGCAATCTGGCCTTGCTCTGATGTATTTGTAGCAGTGGGGGCATGAATGGTACCATAGCTTTTGACTTCTATCTAGAAGTTTTGGTATGCCTCTAATCCAATAGGGCCTTGCCTGCAATGAATGAGCATTGTATTATTACAAAGGCTCGGACAAGTATACCAAGTTTGCTAATAGTAATAGAAGTCAAAGTAGATAATCAATTTTGTAGCACTGTTAACCTATTGTGTTAAGCCATTTGTTAACATCTAGTACGCCAGGCAAGAATTGTATTAGGCCCAGAAGACCCTCTTATAAAAGATAATGCAAAGCATATGATTCTTGAATTTCACATGGGCGAGAGTTTCATAATAAAACTATAGAATCCATCAAGCAATTAAAAAGAATTAAAAAGCTTTACGCTACAGTGAGGTTCACAAGAGAGAAAGTACAATTTGACAAGTAAGATAATGAGTAGGGGAAAAAATGGTAATTACGCAGTAGCATTAAAACACGAAATTCCACCTACAAAGTCACAGAGATGCAAAAATACGAAGAAATGGGACAAACAAGTAAATAAAAAATTACTGGGTAAAATGGGAAAACAGGAGCTACTAATTTCATTAACGAGGACAAAATTACTGGATGAAAGCCCGTATATCCGGAAAAACCAAATGAAAGGGAGCATTAATTAGTTCTACAAAAACGTACAGATACAATGAAAACTAAACTGAAGACATTTTTGCCCAAAACATTCAAATCTCATTACCAATCAATCAGGAGAGTAGGGAATGGTAGTTCAAGCTTGTAGTCAGTATAATCCAATTCGATAACCCACAAGCCAATTTTGTAATGGAAGAGACTACAGACTTTTTGGCTGTTGGCATGCATGCAGAAATAAAGGATTGTGAGTGAGTTGTATATGTACCTCAACCACAGCTGTGAGATCGCTGATAGTTATAACTCTGTCATCATCTGGTACAGGTAGGAGTTTGAGACGATCACCATAAGTCCGCTCAGCAATGAAACGCGTGATTTCCTCTTGATTGTGACTGCACCTAATATTTTATTTGTTGTAATGTAAAGGATAGTAAGCCTTTTTGGTAATGAATGTTGAATAATTTATAATGTAACTATTTTAAAGTAAAGTTACCAGTTACGCAGGTCATTGGCTTGCTGAATTGGAGGATTGATTAGTATGCTGCTGGAGAATTTGGTGGATAGATGCATGGCTACAAAGTTGACAATAGCAACATAAGTTTTTCCTTTTCTGGTTTCAGTCAACTTAGGATTTTTGTAAATGGTTTTTAAAAGAGTACGTACCATGGTAAGATGTCACTCGGACTCGAAGCGCTGCAACCACAGGTTGGGTGTGGATCATATCAGCTATGTCTTGTCCCTCTTCTGATTCATGCTCTCCCCAAAGGGTCAGTACCATTGGGTGCGACATATGATCTGTAAGAATGATATCCCTAGTTGGTGTTCCACCTCTGATTGCTTTCGGGTGCACGTGAATTGCTATTCCAATAAGATCTAATAACCAGAGTTTGATATTAAAAAGTGTAACTATGACTATGTAAATTATATGTTAAGGTAAATCAGGAATGGTACCTATTTCATCAGTTGTGTCAATGTGCTGATAAACTGAATCGTAGTCAGCAAAGTTAAACACATTAGGTATCAGAGGGGGGTCCACTTCATCGATTTCTTGGACAAGCGTGGAGTTGTCAATGGTCCATGAGCACTCATTTGGGTACGTACTGTACCTTGGCAACACATTTTGAATCCTAGCATTCGATACATAATATCTTCGATATGGTTCAAAGTACTTCCTGAAGAACATTATATCTCCAGCATAAATTAGAGCTTGAGCAGTTTGACCCTGTAATTTTGAATACAGTAAGTGCTATGGTAATTAATTAGTTGTGTATAGTGCCAAAGTATGCAATGATAAGCTATATTACCTGACTATCAACAAACACCAACTTTTGGTAGCGTTTTCCATTTCTTGAAACCTGAACCTTTTGCTTTTCAATCACTTGAACAATGGCAGTCCAGTTGTCCATGAGAGGTTGGAGTTCTGTGAAGTTTACCAGGTTGCTTTCCATTTTTTGACGTTTGAAGAGTGCTGCAGACAACTACCACAAAATCGAAGGATTCCAAAGACAAGAGTTACACTCCGAAGTAGTAAGTTCATAGAATTTAAATATAATGTATTACTAAGACATTTACTGGTACTTTATTTGCTATTTACATATAACAGAGTACTGGAATTATTGACAAGATAGCTGCAATACATCCTTGTAAACTATATTAGGAGTCACATAATCTAAACTTGAATCATATAC